TGATCAGCCGTAAAACAGTGATTCTGTCCTAATTCCCTTGCATATTAATGGTGGAGTTCCCTTTAAAATCTTAAATGATTCCCTTTGAGCTAAATTATTGACCTGTTTCCCTTACATCTATTACAGAAAGTTTTTTGTGTGTGTGTGTGTGTGTGTGTGTGTGTGTGAGAGAGGAGAGAGAGAACTAACCCGGTCCATTCAGATACTGTGTGAGGGAGCAGTGAAGCCGCACAATAACAGGTTCACTCCGGATCACATCCCAGGCAAGTGCAATCTCCTCCTATGAACAAAAACATCATTTCAGTTTCACACACTACAACTTACACACACAAAAAATATAATAATTTTAAAAAAAAAATAATTGAAAAAAAAAAAATCATTGGTCATCATCATTTATCTGAACATTAACACTTACATCTAGGAAAGTGACATCAATGTGTAGGTCGATGTCCACATCATCAATTGCACCATATAGATACAGTTTCTGGCTTGGTGATTGTGACATTCCATCTTTGACACAAATCCTGCTAGTGTAATTATTCTTTATTCACAGCAGCTTTTAAAATACATACTCATAAAGACTAGAAAATTGCTAGAATATATTACTCAGAATATGTTGTTGACATTCAAGCACAAAGCTTTTAGGATCCGAAGGGGAATTCACAACAAATTTAGACATGATGAAGCAGTTTACTTTGTTTATACAGCCGGCTTACAAAACATTCTCCTTTAAAGTTGACATGAATAGTCATTTGCACCCTATTTTAAACGGGTTGGAAGGGAAAATAAGACAGGACTGTTTTTATCTATCAGCCAATAACTGAGTGAAATTAGACAATGCAAATTTGCTAACAAAATATCAATATTTGGCTACTGGTTAGCGTGTGGCCCTAAATGATGTAGGAAGGATGCAGTTTGATGCTCCAGCTCTGTTGCTGTGCTTCACTCAAAGCATTTATTTCTCATAAAACCATTGTGATTAGTTTGTTGTGTTGCTCTGGGCTAACTGTTACCATGGTTACACCTCACTCCCAAATGCAGTCGCTGTGTCTCAAAAGCAAAAGGTTTGAGGAAATAATAATCTCCTTTGATCTGTAAAGAGGAAACTGCTTACATACAGCCGATAAACACACACTCATTTTCAGACACATGTAAACACACAAAATTACATATTTACTACGGTAAAAGAAAATCAGAGCAACTTCAAGGAATCATTTAAGATGTGTTATGCTGTTTACTGAAAATGTTGTGCAATGACCTAAAAGCAGTTTTGCTTTTTCATTAAAATCGTGTTCAATGAATAGTCAAACCCACTTAGTGGGACATGCCCTGGAATTATTAAAGGGAGCCTCAGTGACCCCACTCATAGAGACTTCAGCAAAACCAGCCCAGGTCATTTTTCAAGCAGAACGCTGAATAAATACTCAAAATAGTTTTCCATCCATGACTCAGAGCAAGCGCATCACACAGATCACACACTAGACCGAATATAAAACACACTTCTGCTGCTATGAATAGTCTTTTATGCTGTTCTTTCTTTTGACTGTCTGCGGTTATCAAAAGCAGCTTGACAAGATAAACTTTCAAGGACAAAGCTTTTAATAGCTGTCGTCGCATGAAACACCATTCAGATTGCCAGATTTTGCGGGGTGAATCATGTTCTTGTTGACAATCTGTCATGAGTTCTTTTCATCCGAGTTAAGCACATACATCAAACAGCAATAGACAGAGAAATCCACTCACTACTAGGGCTGGTGCGGTGAGGGAATTTCTCTTGCGGTAATTTTGAGTGGCTCAATAGCGCGGTATGCAGTATTACCGCCACATATATATATATATAATTTGTGTGTGTGTGTGTTACGATATAACTAACGAAGTCATATTCAGAAGACAATGAAACCGAAACCAAATAGCGTTGAAACAGGAACTAAAGTAAACAGAAGAACAGAACATAAACCTGACAATAAGATCGTTAGGCTATCGTTAGCCTATATGTAATCTGATTTTCTAATCTGACTGGACAAGAGACTTTCTATTGATATTTCCTCCTGCGCACGCACGTTCTAGACGGGCTGTCAGTCAGTGCAGTTACAATGTTGTGCCACAAGGTGGTGGAAAGGGACTGTCATTCAACTACACGTTCAAAAACGCTGATTCCTTCATTCAAAGAGACGTAATGAAACACGCTGTTGAAATCATTTTAACTTTGAGCGCCACTTTAGAAGGCTCAGCTGACCAGCTATGCGTCAATGCTAAGACAGATATTTTGCTTTTCCTTGGACATGACCGATCTCAGTCGCTCTCGCTCTCATTCACTGTCTGTTTAGGCTTGTTAAGTGCAAATCTACGGAGCCTCTGTACAAATCAGCATGGTACACATTGTTATCATTACTAACTTGTTTAATATTTCGTCCACATGCATGAAGTCTAAAACGAGAAGGGCATAACCTTACGAAAAAAATAAAAAAATAAAAAATCGCGGTTGCTGCGGTTCTTGCATTCCTCTGCGGTTTGCTCGTCAATAGCGCGGTATTGCGGTTATGCGGTTATCGCTACTCACTACTCTTAACTGAATAACTTTTGTAGCTTTAACTAGGATAAATCTATATTTAATTTATTAATAAACACTATGCAATGTTATTTCACATCTGATTATACATTTTCTGTACCATACTACTGTTAGACCTACCCGAAAACATTTTTAAGCACTGTTTAATTTGTATTTTTGTTCTATTGCATTTATTTGCGTCATTGCTTCTAATTTGTTAATCTGTTCTTAATGACTATTCACTTGTCTTTAATGTTTGAAGAACCTTAAATTTGTTAGGCTAGTAGTTTTTGAAATTGAAATGACAAATGTTGAAATTTTGTATTTATTAGAATACAAGGTCAGATGAGTCTAACTGTTTTATTTTTTGTGGTAGGGCCAATTAAAATTTTGGCAGGGCAAGTAAAAACTTGAACTACCACTCCAAAAGGGCCAGTAGAAAAAATCCTTAGTGTTAAGCCCTGATTTTAGATTACTCTATTATAAGATCAGTCTCATAGACTGTGTCCAAAACAAACTACCTGGGTTTCTTGTGAACGTTAATTTGCCATACCAGCATCTTCAGACTATTTGATTTTATCATTGACTGATTTTCTTTTCTTTGATCCTTTGATTCTAATGCCGAGACACAGAGATGTTGTGTTTTAGAAGGATGCAGTGACTATATTTCTCAAGAGATCCAAGAGTAATCATAATACTCATACAAACCTAGTAGGTTTTTGCCTACTATAACCACCTAATAATTGCTGCAAAACGTTAAAAGGAAAGTTGAATTTGAACAGGCAAAATATGAATCACAGATTTCGAGTAAATGTCCTTAACTACTACTGAGTAAGTGAAGTATTTTTATTTGTTTTATTTAAACACTGAACTGTTTGTCTGAGCCTCTAGACTTGCCCATCACAGCAACACTGGCTCAACCAGTCTGAGCATTAGTTCGCTTGCGGTAATTTTGAGTGGCTCAATAGCGCGGTATGCAGTATTACCGCCACATATATATATATATAATTTGTGTGTGTGTGTGTGTTACGATATAACTAACGAAGTCATATTCAGAAGACAATGAAACCGAAACCAAATAGCGTTGAAACAGGAACTAAAGTAAACAGAAGAACAGAACATAAACCTGACAATAAGATCGTTAGGCTATCGTTAGCCTATATGTAATCTGATTTTCTAATCTGACTGGACAAGAGACTTTCTATTGATATTTCCTCCTGCGCACGCACGTTCTAGACGGGCTGTCAGTCAGTGCAGTTACAATGTTGTGCCACAAGGTGGTGGAAAGGGACTGTCATTCAACTACACGTTCAAAAACGCTGATTCCTTCATTCAAAGAGACGTAATGAAACACGCTGTTGAAATCATTTTAACTTTGAGCGCCACTTTAGAAGGCTCAGCTGACCAGCTATGCGTCAATGCTAAGACAGATATTTTGCTTTTCCTTGGACATGACCGATCTCAGTCGCTCTCGCTTTCATTCACTGTCTGTTTAGGCTTGTTAAGTGCAAATCTACGGAGCCTCTGTACAAATCAGCATGGTACACATTGTTATCATTACTAACTTGTTTAATATTTCGTCCACATGCATGAAGTCTAAAACGAGAAGGGCATAACCTTACGAAAAAATAAAACACGCAAAAATCGCGGTTGCTGCGGTTCTTGCATTCCTCTGCGGTTTGCTCGTCAATAGCGCGGTATTGCGGTTATCGCGACAGCCCTACTCACTACTCTTAACTGAATAACTTTTGTAGCTTTAACTAGGATAAATCTATATTTAATTTATTAATAAACACTATGCAATGTTATTTCACATCTGATTATACATTTTCTGTACCATACTACTGTTAGACCTACCCGAAAACATTTTTAAGCACTGTTTAATTTGTATTTTTGTTCTATTGCATTTATTTGCGTCATTGCTTCTAATTTGTTAATCTGTTCTTAATGACTATTCACTTGTCTTTAATGTTTGAAGAACCTTAAATTTGTTAGGCTAGTAGTTTTTGAAATTGAAATGACAAATGTTGAAATTTTGTATTTATTAGAATACAAGGTCAGATGAGTCTAACTGTTTTATTTTTTGTGGTAGGGCCAATTAAAATTTTGGCAGGGCAAGTAAAAACTTGAACTACCACTCCAAAAGGGCCAGTAGAAAAAATCCTTAGTGTTAAGCCCTGATTTTAGATTACTCTATTATAAGATCAGTCTCATAGACTGTGTCCAAAACAAACTACCTGGGTTTCTTGTGAACGTTAATTTGCCATACCAGCATCTTCAGACTATTTGATTTTATCATTGACTGATTTTCTTTTCTTTGATCCTTTGATTCTAATGCCGAGACACAGAGATGTTGTGTTTTAGAAGGATGCAGTGACTATATTTCTCAAGAGATCCAAGAGTAATCATAATACTCATACAAACCTAGTAGGTTTTTGCCTACTATAACCACCTAATAATTGCTGCAAAACGTTAAAAGGAAAGTTGAATTTGAACAGGCAAAATATGAATCACAGATTTCGAGTAAATGTCCTTAACTACTACTGAGTAAGTGAAGTATTTTTATTTGTTTTATTTAAACACTGAACTGTTTGTCTGAGCCTCTAGACTTGCCCATCACAGCAACACTGGCTCAACCAGTCTGAGCATTAGTTCGGGACAGGACTATCGGTTTGAAAGACAGAGGTAATGTGCGATTATTTAAATTTAATCAGTCATGTTTGCAGATCCATTTGGTGACACTAGTGGCATGGAAGTTACAAACTGTTTCTTAATATGGCCTATTACGTACATTGATCACGCTTTCGTCAATGTAAACGATGGATGTAGTTTGGTCTTTTTAGATATTCAGTACAACAGTTATCAAGAAAATTCACCAGCTGTTCAGAAGTTCAGAGAGAATCTGCCAGCATGTGGCATGGAAGAGTCTCCCGAAGGCTTTGAGACCATCAAAACAGCAAAGGATTGTAAAGCTGCCACATTACAGTCAGCAAGAGCCAGTGAGCATTAACAGCATAGCACAGGCATTAGGGTATGAATCTTCATTGCCTTTGGACTGGTCATCACAGAGCACACAAATCTCGCTCACTCACTCACTCACTCCAGCTTTATGGATTTGCTCCAGTGGATGGTCACATGATTAATTTAAGCACAATCCATGTGTGCAAACATTCATTTTCAGGATGGAAACCTTCTCAGAAGAGTGAGGGACTAATCATTAAAAGTTAAGAGAGTTATAAAGTTATTTTATATGAGCTGCAAACTACTTTAAGTAAATTTACCATGAAATGAAAAGTCTGAAGCCCCAAGTGCTGTGGGTTTTAAGCTGGTTTTATACCTGTAAGACCTTAGGAAGTTTAGTTGCAGTGACCATGTGAGGCAGGACCTTGTTTAGCAAACTCCAAGTCTGAAACTTTCACTATTTTCCCTATAACTAAAGGTCACATTTTCACATGCTTCTAAATTTAACTCCGCACCAATAAGTGTCATAACATAGCCATTTAATATTATTCTTCATTCTCATTGTTGTGAGAGAATTCAATAAGAATGATTTGTGTCTGTTGATAGCACACTACAAAAATTGTAGTATCAATTTTATGCATCTTTGCTGAATAAAAGTATTAATTTCTTTCCTCCACAACATTGAACAGTAATATAAAAAGAAGGCATGTTTGCACTGACAATTATGACAACAATTTAACTGGAATACTCACAGCTCAGTTCGTGATTTCAACACATTTAGGCTATTACTCGGTTAATATGGATTGTAGGTGGTTAGTCAATAAGACTGAACAGATTCCAGACTGAAATGTTATGTAAATGAATAGCGTAGTGGAGATATAATAATATAGTAGTGTAGTGACTCCGCTGAACTTACCTGTCCAACATAGTAGAACTCCTCTGAATCATTGTCACCCTCTGAATCCTCCTCTATAGCATAATGGCACTGTAGAGGTTTCAAAATCAAGGCAGAACTTTAGTCATGGTAAAAGTGATTCACTGCCATACCTGACATTTGTAAATAAAAGACATTTTATGATGAAAGCAAAAAATATGGTCTAATTTCTTACCACGTTTTTGTCGGTTTGAAGTTTTGATTTAATAGACAGACAGCTGGTGGCATCGTTATTTATGCGTATTTCTAAAGACAGAGTAGAGTGAAAGCACAGATGTGTGAGGATGACATGATATTGTGAACAGAGAATTTCAGATTTAGATCATAACTGGCATAACTCCTGCAACAGGCCTGGTCATGTCCTGAATATTCCAAACTTTCTAACCATTGTTTTTTATTGGCCTTATGCGTGTATGATGACAGCAATACAATTGTTTCAACTAAAACACTGCAGGTCTTACTACAAGATTAGTTTTTAATGTTAACTCCACTTCAACTACCAAAGAAGTGGTACTTGCATTTCTCATCACCTCAGATTAAAAATAGTTTATGCAGAGGTCTGAGTCAGAAAACCTTTACAACTGGAAAAAGTGTGCGCATCCAAGATCCATCAGTAGTATGTACACAGGATCATTTGTTGTAATGTACTGTGCTGGAAAATGTCAAGGCTTTCTTTATTAAATGTGTGGATTGGAAAAATATTAGGTGTGCATGACAAGCATCTATTAAGCATTAAACTAACTGCTGGGGGAAATGATTGAAGATCTCTTCTGTTTTGCCACTTTGTTTTGGCACATGTCTTGGCCTGTTCTAAAAAAAGAGCAGAAGAAATGCAGTACGATTCCAGGATAATTTATTTCCAGGATTACTGCCAGTGTAATCAAAAGCTCCAAAAACAGAGAAAGACTGGCTAACACTATGTGAATACTGCAATAATAGGATCTTTAGATGATTATCCTACACACAAAAAAAGTACTAAAATGTACCACTGCATTACCATGTTCTTTTTTTTAGGGCATACGTTATCATTTGACAGACTGGGGACAATCTGATGTTTTCTTTTTTATTCAGCAAAGAAGCATTATTATATTCAAATAAGAAATATTAAAATATAAAACAGATGTCAATTAAAATAGAAAACACAAATTTGCAATAATATTTTACATTACTGTTTTTACTGTACTTTGATCAAATAAATGTAGCCTGCGTGAGCAAAAGAAACATTTTCAGAAAAAAAATCTCATCAACAACAAACTTTAAAAAGGTAGTGTTTGTGTACCTATATCATGGTTATATTTGAGGTACCTTTGAGTATAATCTAAATGCTGCATTTACATGAACATGGTATTCATTCAGTACCATGTGCTTCCACCACAGTACTTTTTTTTTTTTTTTACTGACCATTTCAAAAAAAAAAAAAAATCTGAAAAAGTATTGTTCAACCGTTGAGCCAACTCAATGAAATCCGATCGTGTAGGTGTTGGAATAAGGGTAGTTTAGGGTTGGAGCAAAAATATTCAGCTGACAGGGCCTTGACCAAATTTTAAAATGACTGAAATACTCCTGAAGTACACTTTGGATCTGGAAGGCTGCTGGTTTCCTTTTCCCTTAGGCATGACTTTAAAATATCTGATCATTCACCTGATTCATTGGTTTTCTTCAGCCGCAGCTCTTTTATGATTAGATGGTAACGATTCTTACCTGTTGCAATTCTGTGGAAAATCACTGGTATTGGATCCCTGGTGACTAACACTTCATCATTGTTTTCAGAGTTAGACACATATGTGTTATCTGAAAAGACAAAGACAAGCAGGTGCTATTAAAGCACCCAGAAAAGTAAACCTGAAGAAGATCTAACAGTGTAATCAAGCCTGGCAAGTCAAGTGGTAACCAAAACCAGTAACTTGCAACTTATACATAATACATAGAAACACTCCAAATGAGAGTGAAGAGTGATAAGCGCTAATTCTTCAGTTTCTGGACAATTCACTATTTTCAGGTTAACACATCCCATGGCATTCTTTGGCAAAGTTGTCTAAATCTGTGCCAAGCAAATTCCTCATTCTTATGCAAAGCTGACTGTCTGTCACTATGCTGTGATTCAGGCTACACTAAGTCCTGCAAAAAGGAGGTCTGTATCTTCTAGATTTAGATTTAAGGGACAACACTTGTGTGTTTAATCAAAGCATTAAAGTAAATTTTAGGCTTAGAGCAACATCACAGCTTCACAACAAAATGCAATTTTAATGTGGGTATGTTTCGAGGGGGATAAATATTGAACTTCTGTGTACTATTTAAAAACAAATCTCACTAAGCAAAGACAAACTGAGTGCACTAGGCAACTACTGAAAACCAGCTACCTAAGAGCAAAAATCCAGCGTTATCACTATACCCTTAAAACCCGCTGAGCTTCAATACTGTGCTGTCACAAAACAAACACTGTCATTCACTTTAATGTAATGTGCCGTTATAATTACGTGACAGAAAAGATACAATTGGAAAGATTTAAGAGTATGAATCAACTGTGGTACAGCTGAGAATGATATTCTTATGATACAGCTTAGCCGTATTAGTACTGGTTTATAAGAATCAGCTGTCACTTTACACTGTAGACCCTGCATCATCTTTCCTATCAGGTCAGGTACGTAAATATGGAATAAATGACATTATGAAATATATTTTTATATTTTAACAGAAAAACTGGACACCCACAGAGCTAACACTGTGGGTGCTTGGCAGGGTATTGTTATGCATTTGCTTATGTGTTCTGAATGGTTTTTAAAACATCTAAAGATTCTGCTCCGCTCGCTCAACCCAGAATGCCGTTTGGTGATTTGCTTGTTCGAGATCGAGAATCTGTAGAGATCAAGAATAGTAGAGCAGTTATGGAGTTCAGATATTGTTTCAACGAAGTTGCAAGCCTTATACATAAATGTAAAGTAAAAATTAAAGTTAAGAATGAGCAGGGAGAAGAAACAGAGGGAGTGCGGGGAGACTGTTAAAGTTAGTCCAGATTCATATTGATTACAGAAAGCACGAAGATGTATGCAAACATGGTGCAGCAAAAGGTGAGCTAGTTACATACCATAATAAATGAATAAACAGGTAGGCTAAGGTTATATTCGGTTGTACGGAGCCCCGGTCATGACATGCAGACAAAATCACAGCCACGAATTTAGAATAGGCTAGTTCTCTTTTATGTTAGGACTACATTATGGCCAAATATTCAGATGTGTGCAGCGCATTTTATGGAGGATTGTTTCCTGATCCTGGTAGAGTAGACTACAATGCCGGCTGTTCTGGCTCACAGTCTGTAAGTACATTTTCATATTTAAAGAATCTGATGATTCAAACGCGAGTTTTGAGCAGTGTAGAGTAGCACTTGTTGTTTGTCATTTCTCCGATCACAAATGCAGACATGGTTTCATGTTTACGCGGCGCGATGCAACACAACGTGTAAAAAGACAGTATAAGTCATCATAATTATGTCCCCACTGGATGCAACAAATGCCTCATTTATAATGGGTTTTAATGTTTTTGTCTCGTCACTCTGGCC